AGTGTATACGCTACTAAGCGTCTATAGCAATAAAAATCAAATAAAAGGCCATTTATCATCATCACGATCGAACTAGCACCTTTGCATTGCACTTGGAAGTTTCTTATTATCGTCAGGATTAAGCTGTGAACGTCCTCACAGTATTCTCCAAACATCCACGGTTTAGCTCGTGTAGGACAGGCTTCCACTTCCATCCCACAGAAGTCTTCATCGCAGTGCTCCTTGTCATCAGACTGAGAACTTCCTACAATTGGTTTTGGAACTGTCGCGATGATTATGGAACGGATGAACAATACCTTGTGCATGCGTGCGCCGTCTCGAAATCACTTTGGGAAAGAGGCGGCGGTTGTTTTTGGGAAGCGTGCAGCGTCGATACGACGCGCCTTTGTCGTTGTTTGCTTCCGGAAGGCTCTCGCGCCGAATAATCATGGATAATTTTTGGTCAATAACAAATCTCGGTTTGCATCTCATTGCTGGAGAACTTCTCGGAGAAGAGTTTCCTCAGCAAATGCACCGCGTGCACCAAGATGAAACATGTACTACCAACGCCTACGCTTCGCCTTGAAAGGACATCTACGTCCTTTCCCCCCCAATTGACGGATTCTTTTTAATCTTTCGTCTACATTGCTGACTCGAGTCAATCGTTCCTCGCGCAAACAGCTGATCACGAGTACGTGACGTCGACCAGTTGGGTACAACGCGCCTATAGCACTCGAAGCTCTGGATTTTGTTGGCACCTTCAACACATGCGAGCTGGAAACTCGACGCAGTAGACCCCCCTGTAGACAGCATTGGCCAGCAGGACACAACAGCCATTCGCTGGATATGATTTGAGGCGGGGGGCCGTGTCACGGTACATCTCAGTTTCTGCCAGAAACTTTCTGGTCGCTTTTTCTGTCCGCACAGGTCGTCCACTTGCACCATTGGATATGGAGCGTCCCCTTGGCTACAGAGGCGGTGCCTGTCCCTTTCAGTTCATCTTTTAGTCTATCTGGCTCACGATCATGCCAAGTGACCGTAAGATCGATATGGGTGCTTGCCAAGCAGCGCGCCGCGTATACGTGTCCAAGAAGCGCGCGGTGTGCCACCGCCGCAAGGAACTCTGCACCGGAATTATGGTACTACCAGCTCTGGTTATAGCGCTGATCGGCCTCGTGGCCTTTGATATCATTATGGAGACCAACATCCTGGCGCGCGTACCGGCCGCGGTGCTGTCTAGTGCCAAGATCTGTACCCCCACAGTCGTGAACGCCAGCAACATCGAGTACCATACAAGCCACAAATACTACGAAGAACTGAAGAAGATGACAGTACCCGTTCCAGTCTTCCGAGACGAGCACACGAAGCTGTGCGACAAGAAGAAGAGGAAGACCGTGAAATACGAGTACTGCCTGCCCATTGCCGGTCGGAAAGACACGCCGTTTTGCGCGGCGGCGGACCGGACGGACCTCCTGAGCTTACGCTCTGCTAAGTCCATCTGCTACGCTAGTGTACTGCACATGCTTCTCGTGGAGGTCTACGAAGAGCTCCAGGCCAGAGGGAACATCCCGTTCTTAGCGTTCGGATCGCTACTGGGAGCCGTACGCAACGGTTCCATGATCCCGTTCACGGAAGACGTCGACATTGGCTTTGTGGGCGAGATGAGCACCCCGGACGCCGTGAAGCTCGCATTAAGGAAGAAGGGCTATCACATGTTCTTCATGGACATTTGGCGCGTCTGTGTGGCGCCAACGCATCCGTTGGCGGGACATCTTTACGACCCGAACTTGCCCGTTTCTGACAATTATGCTGTGCCGTACGTGGACCTGTACATGATGAAGCAGCAGGACGACGGAGACTGGGATCTAGAGGAGCTGAACGGAACCAATGGACGCATCCTCCCTTATAATAAGGTGCAACCGTTCTCCCAAGTGACGATCAATGGAGTGCCGTTCGACACAGTCAAAGACCCTCATTTCTTCTTGACTGAGGCGTACAGTGACGACTACATGACGCCCAAGCCGAGAGAGGAGTAACTGGCTCGTGTTTACCGGCTCACAGCAGACAGGAACGAATAGGAATGTTGTAGGATACGTTAATAGACTATAAGCAGCTCATCTGTGGACAGGAGACCATTGCACATGTACCCACAATGTACCATGAGCATGGCACTCACAATCGGACAAGAATCATGCTGTCGCCTGGTTTCATTTTTTCCTCGTCGTGCGGCGAGATGGACAAGAAGCTCGAAGACGAGGACGATGACAAGAAAGCGCACCGCGTGAAGGTGCAATGGCGGCTTGTGCGCATGTTTAAAGACCTCAAAACAGGCGCGACGGCGACACCGGTCGTGGTGCTGGTGGTGATTGGACTGCTCGTCTTCATGGAGACGCTCATCAACTACAGGCCGACAGTCTCCACGATGCGTGGGCACGCCTGCAGTCCCGCCGTTCTGGACGCTAATAACATCGAATACCATTCAGACCACAGATACTACTCAGGACTGCGCGATATTGGAGCTGTTCCGCCGCCACAAATGACGGGGGATCATGCCAAACTCTGCAGCAAAATGAGCAGACTCCAAGCCAAATACGAATATTGTTTACCGGTCTCAGGCCGGAAGGACACACCGTTCTGCACTGCAGCCGACCGGATGAACCTGCTTAATTTAAAGGCCACGACGATCTGCTATGCCAGTGTACTGCACATGCTGCTGATGGAGGTGTACGAAGAGCTTCAAGCTAAGAGAAACACCCCATTCCTCGCGTTCGGGTCGCTATTAGGAGCTGTACGCAACCAGTCGATGATTCCATTCACAGAAGACGTCGACGTCGGTTATGTGGGTGACATGGTCGCTGCTGAGAAGGTTAAACTCGCTCTGCGAAGGAAAGGTTATCACATGTTTTACCTGGATATTTGGCGTGTCTGCGTGGCGCCGACGCATCCGTTGGCTGGGCATCTATACGACCCGAATTTGCCAATTTCGGACAGCTTCGCGGTGCCGTACGTGGATCTGTACAAGATGACACAGACGGAAAATGGAGACTGGGATATGCAGGAACTGGAAGGTAGCAATGGACGTATTCTTCCATACAAGAAAGTATGGCCATTCTCGAAAGTGACGATCAACGGAATGACGTTCGAGACTGTGCGTGACCCACATTTCTTCCTGGCGGAGGCGTATGGACCGGATTACATGACTCCAAAGCCTCGAAACGAATCGTCTGAGTTCTTAGAACCTCAAGCTCCTAAGTATCCTTAGAATACGATGTTCTAATTAAGAACACGATCAAGTTAGTAAATGATGGTGGTAAACTAAACAATTATTCCTACTAATGTAGCGATAGACTCAATTTACTGTTAAATTTCAACTTCGGCTTAGCAAGAAATACTGTCGACTGTGAAGCGAACAGATGCTTTGCTGTTCGGATTCATGGATGCTGTTCGGATTCATGGATGCTGTTCGGATTCATGGACTAGAGAGAGGGGTGATAACGGGGTACCGTCACAAGCTTGTGACGGTACCCACAGCGTGATTCAGCTTTCTCAATTTTTTTTTGCATTACGTGATGACCATATGGAGATCTTCATGCACTACGTTATGCAGGCAAGCAGGTCATCATTTTTATGGGACGCTATACCGTTTGTAGGCTCCGCCTCGTAACCCTCGAGACCGAAACAAATGGACTCTCATTGAAGAGAGTCCATATGGGCCAATTACTTGAGGTTGCCTCTGGATTTGTCGCTCTATTTCGTCCGAATGACTTTCATTCTTGCATTCGCAAGCAGCAACTCAAGTCTGATCGTACCAGCGCGCGATGGAGAACGGTGGTATCAACATGGCCAAGAAACTCGAGGAAGGTGTCGAAGTCGTCAAGTGTTCGTCATCTCGACCTATTAGTATCATGGGAAGATTTGTGCTCGGCTGCAGAGAATTTTGGACGGGGGTGACAGTGATTCCAATCTTCGTGGTTGTACTAATGGGTTTCCTGACGTTCGGCTTCATCATGGAGTCCCACATCATATCGTGTATACCTGAAGTTGCAGTTCTTAACGATACAAAAGCTGCAGAATTGTGCATTCCAAGGGTCCTGAATGCCAGTAACATCGAGTACCATTCGGGTCATCGATTCTACTCCGAGCTAAAGGAAATGGATCCTCCGATAGCACCAACCTTCAGGAGAAACCACACGGTGCTTTGTCATAA